GATATCATTGGGTTGTCAACAGCCAGGGCAATATTTGCTTCGAGGTTGTTCGCCCTATTCGGCTCACGACTTGCAGCCATGCTCAATTAATTCGAAAAGGTGATATTCAAAATGAAAAAGCCAGTGTAAGGCCCATAACGCATTCGCTGTGCGGAAGTCAATAGCTTTCACGATGACATCAATCAGATTGGCTGAGAGCTAAATACACAAATTATTATTGCTGTCTTTTTGCGCTGAAAAGGACGTTCGTTGAACGACGTTTTTAAAAGATATTTTGTTTTTAATGAAACGATTGCTTTATCGCTTATTTTGCTGAAGTAAATTAAAAAACTGAAATGGAAAATATTTGTTTACATAGTTGCTAAATAGCAAATACCTATCACCACCAGTCCCCTCAATCTTCCAGTAACTCGATTGATAATTAATAAAGCCCATTTATGCAGAAGAGCTGCTGAGGGGGTTCCAGTTATTAATTGAGAGAGCATAACGAGGAAGAACCTCTAAAATGGTGGCTTTCTCCACTTCCTGTGCAACGACTTCGAATTTTGCAGCCGCAAGGAGTGCCTCGTTGAGCATTGTTATTCTAATCCAATGAGCATTGCTTGAAACTTTAAAATGAAAAGTAAAATTTATTTCATACCGTTATACGAGCTTTAAAGGATGCTGCTCCAAGAGCGCCTCTGAATATACGACCTCCTGCATTAGGGGCGAAAGTGGCTACATTCGATCCGAATTATCAGACGTTGGCTGGTATGAACAACGACGATATCTTTAAGCCAAAGGTTTGCGTTCATTTGTTTTTGAACTTATCTCATCAAGCAATACTCAATTTTAAAAGAGTGATTCACCTACAACTTACATCATCAATGAGGTGCAGATGTACCTCTCCATCGAATTACGTATCGGCCTTCTTGGTCATGTGGTTGCACAACCTTTTATTCGACGTACCAAAAATCCCCTCCATCGATTGAGCGCATACGGTGAAATTCTAGAGCGGTCATAACACGGCAATGTTAGGATCCCAGAAAGCAAAACTTACCGCACGAAATAAAACTTGCCTTAGTATCTTACGCCGTAAACGTATCTGTTCACGAAGTTAGGCGACGAGGCGACCAGAATAAGAGTAGCACCGTTTGGCCTTCATTAAAACAGTGCATTTATGGGAAACAGCGAGGAATATTTTGTGCGCTGTACCAAAGCTACCAAAACAGTTCCCATGAGAGCCGAATATTTTTTCATTAACATTACATAATCCGACATCATTAGCCTGTGTGGATTTCAGATCCACGAAATCCTCCGAAATTTTTGGGTGTGGGTCTGGCTACTCCGTGAGGATTTTTCCATGTGAGAGCATTTTCACCTTAACTAGAGGGATTGAGCTTCTAGACAAGTTTAGCACCAATTACCCGACCTCAAAGGGATAAGAGGGCTGGTGTGCATGGGGCGGGGTCGAACCAGCGCTTGGGTAGGTGGGTCGTCCACTTAATGAATAGGATTACTAGCAATGTGCTCCCAGTTCCCCTATAGAGGGCAATCTCTAAGAGGGCATTACCGAATCAGGGGCTCATTCATGGTCAGGGTAATGAGCAACAATGTATCATGATCATGTAAGCAACAAGGATAAGGTACGATATCACCGACCTGATCGAGACAAGACGATGCCACCCATTCAACGCTGACTCCGGAAATGATCTGTTCCTCGGAACATGCGACAGTAGAGGACTCGGTGGCGTCGGCGTTCTTGTCAACACGAGTTTGGCCGTGAACGTTCACTCATTCGAACAACTATCAACTCGAATCGGACGTTTACGATTGAAAAGATGTGGATCAATACCAGCTTTGACAATCTTCGCGGTATGCGCGCCGACATCAAACTATGACGAAGAAGAAGACGAAGCGCATTCTTCGAGGTGATCATTGGAGATTTTAGCGCTAAATTGGACCAAGAAGAACCTCACATTGGGACCCATGGATTAGGTTGGAACAAGCAGGGTGAGCGTCTTTCTGAGTTTATCATGACGAACAAGACCATCGAAGGTAACTCACAATTCCAGAAGCCCATCACTCAACGCTGGGCGTGGGAGTCTCCCAATGAAGAGTGCCATAACGAAAGAGACCTCATCATAGTGAGTCGAAAGTATTGCCTAACCGATGTCGCTGCTGTCCCAAAATTCTACAAGGGATCTAACCAGCGCCTCACTCGTGCAAGATCCCATTCCTCGCAAAAAGGAGAAAAAACCGCAAAATTAAAAAACAGTGTTCCAACACCATCATAAACTGCAATTTATTCGTGACATCGACGAGGAATGCGATCGACTTATTCAACATCTTCACGTCAGCGCTATGAAAGCTAAGAGCTTGAAATTCACCAAAAAACATCTGCCTTCAGAAACACCAGCCCTTGTAAACACAATGGCTCGGCTGTTCACACGTTTACCTGTCTCAATGGAAGGTCCCTAGTAAGTGGAAGACCAACAAGACCGTGATTTTCTTCAAGAATGTAGACCTCTACGAAATCTGCAACTATCGCCCAATTTGCTTGTTGGCTGTCGTCTAAAAACTGTGAACCCGTCCTAAATAGGACTGACAGCACACTGAACGAAGGATAGCCATGTCAGCAAGCAGGATTTCGAGAAGTATTCAGTACGATGGACCACATCCACGAGATAGCGAGACTCACTGAAGTACTGCTAGAGTACAAAAGACCGCTCTGTCTTACTTTCATCGATATGAAGAACGCCTTTGATTCAATGAGATAGAAGCAGTCATGGAAGCCCTTGGTAGCCAAGGAGTCCCTACGCAGTATATAAAGACTCTTCGTGAGCTTTACAAAAATTTCACAACCAAGATATCACCGTTCTACAACGATATTAATATCGACGTCAAAAGAAGGGCTCTCCAAAATTATTCACTGCCACCTTCAAACAACACCTTCGCTTTGCTAATGACGTAGTTCTTATAACAGCAAACACTAGGCAAGGGAAACGAATGCTTACCCACTTTCATAAGGTCTGTGGAAACATCGGTGTTGGACTAAATCTGGCAAAAACGGTGTTCATAAGCAACAGGTTTGTTACGTATGTCCCATTCATGCTGAACGGAATGAGTATCTCCGAATGCTCCAATTACGTCTACTAGCTCGGGAAATCAACATAATGAATGACTTAGGTCAGAGTTGTGCAGAAGGAAACCAGGGGCTTGGAGAGCTTTTACGAGCAACGAGGATGTAGTGAGGAGACCAAAGAACACCTGATTTCGTGCCCACCTTTTCGACTCAACGGTGCTTCCTGCTCCAAGGCGCCAGAAACCTGGTCGCTGCATAAGCATGACGATATGTCATTCAGCCTTCTTGGAAGTGCTGCAGAAAGGACAATGCTAGGATGCTTAGTAACTGTATTCCTTAAGATGTTAAACGTAATGCAAGAAGACCACCAACCGGACAGTCACAGTTCTTCATGAAAAGCTTAGAAGAAAAGTACGATGCTCCGCTAGTTCCTAGAGTGAGCAGAATCCAGTGGGCCAGCGAGAGGAGAGACGGAAAATTTGCTAGCACCCGCTCGAGTTACTCCACGATCAACGTGGCGAAAGATGGCACAGGTGAAGCAATCCAGCTAGCAACACATTGGGGCGCCTACCTATACGCAGACGAAAACAATGGTTGAGTTGATTCCTCAAGCCGTCCAGTAAATGCTCCTAAAATTTCTGTACTTCTAAACCAGAAACTTTAATGCCTACCTCTCAACATTCCAAGTACGTCTCAAACCGGCCAGCATCATAACATTCTCAGTATACCACATATAATCACAATCTTAACCGTTCTATTTATTGTCTATTCTTTTTAATGGCAAGGTATATTGCCAAATATAACTTCAATGATGCTGAGATATTTACAAAACTCCGGACCGCAGCTGTTTGCGGCGGGGGAACGAACGCGCCATTTCCTTTTCCGGGGAATAACGCGTTCACCACCATACCATGCGGGTCCGTCGTTACGCCTGTCTCTCAGCTAGTTTATGTCAAAGATCGATAGAAACAGCTGAGAGACAAGCGAAGCAAAGGACCCGCATGGTGTGGTGGTGAACGTGTTACTCCCTGGAAAGGACAATAGCGCGTTCGTTCCCCACCGCAGACACATGCGGTTCGGCCAAATCGTCAGACCCTAGCTTGATTAAATAGTGAAGGCGTCTTTAAACCGACAGCCTGTTTCCTTTCCCTTGTTCTTCCGGGATCTGTGAAGAATGAAACTATTCCTGGAATTTAGTTTTTCGAAACTGTGAGCAGATCTTAACCCTTTTGTTTACTGCCTTTCTCTTTTTAATGGCAGGGTATGTTGCGAAATATAACTCGTATATAATGCTGAGATGTTTTGCAAAACTCCGGACCGCAGGTATATGCGGTGGGGAACGAACGCGCTATTGTCCTTACCGGGGAGTAGCGCACTTCACCACCACACCATCCGGGTCCTTCGTTTTGCCCGTCTCTCAGCTAGTTCTATTGATCTTTTGCCATCAGCAATCACCCGTCAACGGGATTGATCTAGGGAGCCCAAATCGGCATTGAACCCAGTTAAGCTGAGGCTCAGTTATAATCACAATATATATAAACAAAAGCGTTAAGATTTGAGCTCCCCAGATCAATCCCGTTGACGGGTAATTGCCGATGGCAAGAGATCGATAGAACTGTGAGCAGAGCTCGGCCAGTGCAACGCTAACTATGGTGTATATTACGCGGTAACCCCAACGCGCACAACCTCTCTTTCAACTCCGTCTCGCGTTTACCAAGGCTACCAATTCGCTCAGGTTCGATAAGTAGAGAACTGGACTTCCTTGGGAATAATAAGTGCATACTTCCCAACAGTTTACCGCCTCATCGTGGCTGGGGAGGTGTTCCTAGGTGTCGGACTGCGATGTACAGCGAGGGGATTCGTTTCCCTGGCAGGGTTTTCCAGCCAGAGAGGGAACCCGGCGTTTCCATCAAGAAACCTAGCTAAGAGTAAACTAATGCCAGGATCTACCACCGTCCTAGTATCAAAGCCGCATGGTGGTAAATCTTTTCCTGATCCACAAGGGCTGCGAATGCCCGTGGTGGTGACCACCTGGGGCAGACTTTGGCCAGGCTATACTCGGGTTCCAATGAACCGCAATGGCTTAGCCAGCAAATGTACAAAAAATGGTGATTATGCTGGGGCCAGCACAACTAATGAGGACGGGCCGTTCAAGTATCAAATAAGTAAGTAAGTAATAAGTGCATCTAATCCACGTGGAAGCGCTCTTGGATGGATATATTAGGATTCATGGAAGGATGCACTCTACTAGCGCTCAACGGCAACACAACGAAGCCGAAAATCCTCTAACAGCTGCTGAATTCATGCGCAATTCAAGGGGCCTTCCCCGATCGCCGATACGAGGAAGCGAACCGGATGTAGGAAGTGTTGGGATCCACACAGTGTGATACATGTGATGCCGAATTATGTTAAAAAGTGTGCATAAGTGATTTTGTTTCGTTTTGTTTTTCATGGATGGCATAATAATGTTGCTTTCCAGTTTTTCACTCGTGAAGCCAGATAGCTTAGGTTGACCTTATTTTGCATAATACAACAGTCTTTTTAAGAGCTATTATAGGGTGGCGGTGGAGGTTTCGGTGGCGCTTTCAACATCAGACCTCCCAACGAAAATAGAATGGCGGGGAAGTTCGATCCGAATTATCAGACATTAGCTGGAATGAACAATGACGAAGTCTTTAAACCAAAGGTTGCCTTATTACCGCAAATTAGTCAATTAGTCAAAAGTTAAAACAATTAACTCATCTTAAAACAATAGATTTTCTGCTTCTCTTTTTCACATTCCCAGGCTCCGCTTTTTTCTTGAAAGTTGATTTTATTAAGCTGTATCACATGTATCACCTGGCACTTCTTCCTGTGCATTATCAATTTTTTGGAATTTATCCAAAACGCTTCAAGTGTTTTATGCGCTGATGTTTTTGTTTCCTAAGCAAGAATAATGACTTTTACTTCAAAAACTTCGTTGTGTCTTCGCGTCGTATGCGTTTCTAGTAGAGCGTTTGGATTAACTTCAAGTTTGCCGGCAAGGTGTTTTTTTATACGGACACATAGTAGTCTAGTCGTTTTGCCATTGTGTTTGTCTTCGCTCGGTCTAGGGTAAACGTAACTGGCACTCATGGAAATACCTTTCCTACTGTTGGAGTAAGTCATGTAAATTTGCGTTGTGCACTGACCGTGATGCAAACGGTTACGAACCAACTGACGATGTAAGGTAGTTCAGTCACTGCTACCAATTTCCCTAGCTCGGTTCTCTTGAAGCGTTTTGTTTTTTAGCCGTGTTTCCTCCATTTCAAATAAGGAGCGAGTGGGGGAGGGGAGAGGGGGGATAGGTTGTATTTCCATATACCTGTCTCGAGAAGTTACTGTTTTGTATTGCGTAGTAATGACTCTCTGCTGCCCCAAGTTGTGCTTTTCAGTTTTTCTGCTGGTGTTATTATCAAAGTACTTGGCAGAGTAGAGTGCGCATCAGCAGACCTTTCTGGGCTTTGAACGGAACGAAATCCGCCGAGACGTTGATCATCGTTGAATAGGTGTTGTACCAACAAATTCGTGTCCAGTCAAGATGAATTTCACTCTCTTGCTTTATCACCAAGCGCACAAAATCGCCGGAATCCCTAAGTTCTTGTGGCGCGAAGGTTATGGTTCTCATTTTAGAAGCATCTTTATGCTCTTCTCCATGTTCACTGAAAGTTGAGTGTAAACGAACGAGCTTCTGTGTAATCAAAGAACCATCCAACTCGACTTGTTCACTAAGTATCAAGGGTTCTTCTTGAACTAGTCTCCCTTCTGACTGCGGATGTTATCGAAGTTATCGCTGGCATTTCGAAAGTGCAAAAGGAAAGAATGACCAAAGAATCTATTTATTCTCATTATGCAATGAAGATAACATAGTAGGTATTTAATCTGCAACACGATAGCAATTTGAAGGAATGTTTTACTCATTCTCTCCACCAGCAACAAACTCTTGCCGCTTGCCTCAATCGGACGAACAAACTGGTGTGCCGAAAAATAGTTTTTTTCTTCTATAAACTATCAGGCGTTCAAAATTTAGCTTTTCTTAGATGAAACGCGGTACAAAAACTGTTTTTGGATCTATATTTAGATATTAAGACGCTTCATGCTGACTCACCTCCGAGCTTATATTTTCTGCCAAACATCTTAAGAAATAATTGCATGCTATTTCGCCATTTTGTTACATAAATGGTTATACCGTATGTGGCAGGGTGGTGGTGGATCTGGTGAACGCGGTGGCTTAAACATCAGAGCTCCTAAAGATAACAAGAAAGTGGCGACATTTGATCCGAATTATCAGACCTTAGCAGGATTAAACAATGATGAAGTCTTCAAGCCGAAGGTCGTTTGTTGCTCCGTGATTTCATTTTCTCAGTTAATTTTTTGTTTTATTCTCTGAACATGTGAATAATTTTTCAACTCATAGAATTAAGTTATTAAAATCTGCATATAAGTCATTTCTTCTTGTCTAGTCTTTCATCTTTAACATGATTATATTTCTAGGCAAGGCTATGAGCCAAGATTTCTTAACATAAATTTATTTTGCTTGTTATATTGCAGTTGTCAATGAGCATTGTAGGGTGGTGGTGGAGCTCCCGACGGTATTATGAATATCAGGGCTCCTAAAGACAACAAGAAAGTAGCGACATTTGATCCGAATTACCAAACACTGGCTGGATTAAATAACGATGACGTGTTTAAGCCAAAGGTTTTGAATATTATTGATCGAGACCCTAGTATAAATAAGTTGTTCTTTAACCTACATGTTAGGGTGTCGGAGGAGAAGGATTTGGCGAACGCGGCGGTCTTAATATCAAGCCTCCCAAAGACTTCAAGAAGGTGGCAACATTTGATCCGAATTATCAAACATTGGCTGGATTAAACAATGATGACGTATTTAAACCAAAGGTGAGCAAATTTGGAGGAAGCTTGAATGAAAACTCGTTCGTAGTTCTACCAAGCTGTTCAAAAACTAGTGATGGATTACAGACTGTACCCTTAAACTGGCATGTCTCAGTTTAAAATAGGCTTTATTAATCGAAGTAGGGCCAATAAAGTCTACATATTTTTACATAGAAGTGGGGTTATTTGTTCTCGTGGCTAAAAGTCTGAAGTCTGGAGCTAACGAGGCCGTTTAACACTCTCACGACAATGGATACCTATAAGTGTCATAGTGGTTTTGCGACAGTGGTCAGTATGACATCCACAGGCTCCATTTTTTTCCATAGTTGATTTTATCAACCTGCACCACCTGTGCCACCTGACACTCCTATTTTCTGTTCATTATTAGATTTTCCGAATTTATCAAAAACGCTTCAAGAGTCTCACACGCAGGTGTTTTAGATTCCTGAGACAGGATAATGACTTTTACTTCAAATATCTTCTCCTTTATGCCTTTCGCGTCCTATGCGAGTGGAGTGTTCAAATCAAGTTTAAATTTACATGTTTTTTTAGATGGACACGTAGTGGTTTGTCCGTTTTACCATTGCGTTGGTCTTCGCATGCTTTACGTTAGTCCAGATAAACACTACCTGAACACTATCAGGTGCAAGTATGCGTCCACTTTAGGTAGAGATCTTCACCTTTGTTCTTTGCGACTTAGGCAGCTTAGAATGGGAGATTTTAGCAGCCTCTCCATATTCGTCCTAGCCAACGTTCCCGTGACTCTTCGGCACTGTGTTTAGCTTTTTCAAATCTATGTATATCTTGCTGAGCTCTGTACACGGGGATGGGTACACTCACGAGTAGCTTGGGTGTCTCTGCGAAAATAGATATGAAGCTTATTCGTTGGAAGTGACTCCTAATCGCCTCCCACATACTTCCTTGTCACTTCGTTGCAAGCTTTTGGCCGAATACACTCGTGGAACACAATCCGCATAAAGAGAGTCCACCCATGCACCCATGCATGAAAACATCCTCGGAAATACACAGCGTGTTTGCCAATTCGGCGCAGCAGAAACCAAGAGTCCATTCCCTAGATTCATCTGCGCCTCATATGAGCAATAATCGCTTCTGGTCCGCTATTAAAACCCTTTCCGCCACCTAATAACGTTCCACGTTGTCTCGTCAATAACCGGCAAGAGATCCTTCTATGAAGAAGACTCGTATGGTTTTATTAACACACAACAGTATTTTCCTACACCTTTTGTAGTCATTTGATAGTTCCTAGAACACAGATGTTATTTTCTGCGTTCTTCTGGAAAAACTCTATTCTACAACTGGAAATATACAGGAAACCACTTTCCGAATGGTTCACTAACCAGATATTCGAGTGCTAATCGACTACTATTTCATTTGTATTTGTCATAGTGGATGACAACTATCGTATAGTTTGCGAGTGCAGAAAGTACTAAGATAAAGAGCCATGAATTGAGAAACACTTCCGAATGTTGACGGCAGTGTGTTCGTATAACGAACCATGGTAAAATGTAGAAAATAGCGTCGTAAATATTATTTTTAAACGGTGGCCCAAAGACTCTTCTACAATCCTGTCATGTCCACAACCTGTGAAGTTCTTTAATTATCAAAAAAATACTGTTTTTCCTTCCAAAAAACCACCAAGTCCATGTCCTAGAAACTATACCTTGCCCTGTCCGCAAAAAACCCGAGATTAAGCGTCGTGACGAGAGTGTTAATCAAGTTCCAGCTGTGCCATGTTTTTTGAAGTTTTCTTGCACAGGAATAGTAGAGATGTGTGAAGAAGCGACAGCTGGTAGGCGAGAGGTCTGGTGACTATGGCGGATGAGGCACCCTTTTGTAGCCCAGCTCGTTCAACGTTTGCAGCGTCGGTTGTATGACGTACTTCCGCACACAGTCGTGAAGAACGCTTGGTCCTTTTCTGTTGGCCAGTGCGGTGCATAACCGTTGTAATTCCTGGTGTATTCAGTTGGAGCTCCGTTGTCGCCATCATTTCACCTGAATTTAGGAACTTATGATGGATTAGACCAACACAAAGCCTCTAAACTCTCACAATGAGCTTTGAGTGTAATCATGGTTTTAGGAAGTGCTACGAAGCCTTATTGTGGTCTGATAACCAGCCAGTAGTCGCCATTTATCATAAACCAACCTTCTTTCATCAGAAATCATAACATTGTTGGAAAACTAGTCAGCCTGATTTCTCATAGGACGAGCTGTCGATAACTCAAAGCGAGAATTCCTTTGATTGTAATTCGATTCGTATTTGTATACATTTGTCGACCTTCTTCGACCTCAAATTTTTTTTCGATGCTCCGAAGTAGTTGTGCTGCTTGAGCCGAGATCTTCTGGGAGTTCTCGACTAGTTTGTATAGATCCGCTTCCATCAAGCCTTCAGCTCATGGTCATCAGCAGCAGAACGACCCCTGCAACCTCCGCCATGTTCAAAGTCGAAAGCCACCAGAAAAATTTCTAATTTCGCATCACGCATTCATTAACACTTCCTTCGCCCTGTTCGCGCTGCGTACGTCCAAGAATTAATGAGTGGAATTAGATTTGTCGAAATGGCCGTTTTGAACCTTAAATTCTAAGCTTTCAAAATTTTTAAAACTACAATTTATATCACGACAACAACTTGTTTTCTTTAAACAGGTAATGTGGTAGTAACATGAATGTTTCTAGGTAGATAAATCTCACTGAGATGCAGACAGTAAATTGATTTTCTATCGAGTCTTTGGTTGACGTAATAGGTGGTGGTAGAGTCTGACCTTCGTGTGATACTTTCGGGAAATTCCAGCATTCTATCTTGTTTACAAAAATCGGAAATGACTAGATAGAAACTTTTTTCTTATCACTGCTCCTTTGCGAAATCTATTTTGTAGCAGTGAAACTGTATAGAAGAAATGTTTTGCTAATTGCTAGGACAAAAGTTATCTGTCTATTTCGAAACCTTTTCTCAACTTCTTAAAAATCCCTACTCGTCAATGGGGCACGACTTCATTGTGGCTACCTGAGTGATGTTACCACATATCCATTGCGAGGAATTCACACTCCGATTGTGTTGCCACAAATGAGAATGACTTTGACATTTCAACTCATAATTCTATCGATAGGTATCGATAAGTAATGCTACGTGGTTCGTCTCACCAAAAAAGAAAATATAGTGGCCACCTCCACCTAACTGCAAAGGTTTCCATCTGGGTATTGCGACAATGGTCTAACACCTTGCACGGATCTCTCAGTTCTTCGAAGTACAAATTCTGTCAAACGAGCAATATTATATATAAACTGAAGACGTCTTGGGATGCAATTACCTCGCGAGCCATTTAAGCACTCGTGTAAGCAGTAATGTATTGTTAATTAAGGTAGAATGGAACCTTAGAAAAGCAGAGGTACACAAACACATATATACACAAACACACACACACACAAACATACACATACACAAACAAAGATCATTTAAAGATGGAAACCTGCTAAAAACCAGGTAGGCCTTTTGTATGAGCAAAGCTGCTTGTTTACTGTCTTATTTGACACACTTTCTAATGCATACCATAACACAAATTTTGAGTAGGCTTTTCCAAATTAACCTCGTTTGTTGAGCTTTTAAAGTAGTCACTGTTATGTGTAGCGCACACTGTTTTAATCATCGATGCCATTAATATTACCATGCAAATCCATATTACTTAATCTCGTTATGCCGTTTTTGTGGCATTACTTATATAAAGATTTAATTACACAAGTTTGGGGTTGACTCTACACCATCCATTAACAGTCCCGTGTGGCGAATAGCAAGAAAACGGGTAGTCTGCATTAAACTAGGTAACATGGCGAAACGATTAAATATGTTGTAACCCACGCAATTGCAGTTTGGAGGTGGTAAGCCAAATATCCAAAAGCCTGGTCAGCACAAGGTTGTGGGTACGAATGATCCTAACTACCAGGTTAGCTGGAGACAAATACTTACCAAGAATGCGTAGCTTTTTCTAATTTCTTATTCAATTTCTAGACATTAGCCGGTTTGAATGCCAACATCTTCGGCGAGGATAAAAAGAAAGCTGAAAATGACCGATGGTCAACCTATTAGAAGTTCTTAAAGAATTCAAAGTCATCCACATCAGTCAAATTGAAAAATAAACATTTTTCCTTTTTTACGATTCTTGGTAATCTTTTTATTCTTTTTTTTTCAAACATTGTCATCATCGAGCGTGATAAACACGTTTATTGGAAATATTTTTGGTACACCTTTTTAGGGAAAAACCTAATATGCAGATGTATAGTTGTTTTTACCAAGTCTCTCACGCCTTTTAGGTCGGGATATTGGCAAGGGATTTAGCTGCGAAAAAAATCACTCTGTGCAATCTTATTCGGAGCGCTCCAGCCCAGCTATCTCAGGACTCCAAGGAGAAGTGCTGTACCAGCATGCTACGACATTCAAAATGAAAGGGAAACTTTAAGCTGCAATAGACGCCACGCATAGGGGTTGGAAGACTTTCGTGGACAATGGATGCGAGGAAACGAATCGAATGTGAGAAGTGATGGCATCCGCCCAGTAGACATGAGGACGGATCAAATAAAGTAAAGAATGAAATAAAAAGTTGTTTATGTGGCTTAAACTACTTGCATATTTGCTCTTAGTCATTGCAGTTGAAATTCAAGTACTTTCGTCATCCAAGAGTAGTGATACCCTCTAGCATAAACTAATATGGCATGTTGTGCAGATATCATCACTTTTTTTGTTCTGTTCGTTGCCTCTTTCCATATTCTCCTGAGATCTTCCGACTTGTGCGCTTGTTTGACTGCTGATTGAGCAATTTCGGTTCTTATGAACGCCGGGAAATTCTGGTTGAGTGAATTCGCTCTGAAATAGTTGTGCTAGAACGTTTTCTGTGGATGGTAGTGACGGTGCTCTAACCTCTCAAAACACGGCATTATGAGAAAAACTTTGCTGTTTACAGCAGTACAGCAGTGCAGTATTAAAAAGTGGGAGCAAATGCTTCCTCTGAGTTATCGAACTTGCCCAGACAAAAAGACGCCGCCCGTTAACACTTGAGCATGCACCCATTCGTGCAATTCGCAAAGCACAGCAAGAATCTGGAGCACTACCG